CACACACACACACCACCTCTCTCTCTCTCTCTCTCTCTCTCTCTCTCTCTCTCTCCTTGTCGATATAGATTATTGGTGGAGTTTTTATTTGTGGCGTAAAAGAGGTGAGGAATAAGAGGAGGGAGGGAGGGAGAAAAGTGGAACAGAAAAGAATGAGAATCGAGATGAGAGAAGGAAAAGTATGACAAGTAACTCGGAGATATATCACACAGCTGAAGAAAGAATTCCCGGCTTGGCTAGCTGTGCTGCCGCCCTTTGCCTGCCGTCTCCCTTCGTTTCCTTGCGCTTTCCTCCCCTCCCAAGCTAGAGTGAGAAAGAGAAGATAGATCACATCTTCTGGGTTTGAGCCTGCTGCAGTTGTTTCTCCTCCTCTGCTGTCTTCATCTTCCTCTCTCTCTCTTTCTCTCAGACACTACATGTCTCTTTATGCTTTGTTTCTGAGCCAAGTGTTGGTTTACTTTGCCAGCTTTCTTTGTTCTCTAGTAGACTTGGGGGAGCAGTAGCCAAGAGATTGAGGGTCGTCTGGTGGGTGCCTGGATCCACTCCTCATGTACCATTATTTGGGTTTTTTCTCTCATCTTCCTCTTCTTTGGTTGTTTCCTTGTCTGTAGATCTGAAGGAGGCCTGAGGTTTGAGGCGAGCTTGGCCGGATTGATTCTTAGCGGTAGACACAACAAAATCCCATTGTTCCATGTTGGGTAGTGAGTGTTCCATCTGCAGCACTGATTTGGACTGGTTACTGATCCTTCCCAGATACCAGACAAAGAAGAGCGAGCAAGACTAGCATCTGATCCGGTTTAGAAGATGAAAGCCGCTTCGTCGTCCACGCATTTCTTCGGAATCAGGGAGGATGGCCAGCACAGCCACCAACAGCCACAGCAGCCGCCGCAGCCGCCGCCGCCACAGGAACTACCAGCGACAGCCTCGTCGGCCAATACTCCACACTCTGCTGCTCCTCCGAAGAAGAGGAGGAACCTCCCTGGAAACCCAAGCAAGTATCTAAGCCTCTTCTCCTTTACATCCTTCTTGGTAGCGACGCTGACTTGATCATACCTCCGTATGATCGAGCAAGCATCTTCTGGAACATCAACGTATGCTTTCTTGCGTCCTTATCCTCTCTTTCAACTCTTAATTTCTTCAAGAAAGGTAAGAATCCATGCATGATGGATCTCAACTCGATTTGGTGACCTAGGTTTCGAGAAAAAGGTCTCCCCTCTTCCCTTTTCTTGATGTTACCAAGTCAACCCATAGTCAAAAGCATGCGTTCTCGTGCACAGCATCTCTGCAAGTGCTCACTTTCTTTAAACCTCGGCCTTTATATGCGTTCCATCATGATTACAGATCCAGATGCGGAGGTGATAGCTCTGTCGCCGAAGACGCTGATGGCCACCAACCGTTTCATCTGCGAGGTGTGCAACAAAGGGTTCCAGCGGGAGCAGAACCTGCAGCTGCACCGGCGCGGCCACAACCTGCCGTGGAAGCTGAAGCAGAAGAACCCCAACGAGGTCCGCCGCCGGGTGTACCTCTGCCCCGAGCCGACCTGCGTCCACCACGACCCGTCGCGGGCCCTCGGCGACCTCACCGGCATCAAGAAGCACTTCTGCCGCAAGCACGGCGAGAAGAAGTGGAAGTGCGACAAGTGCTCCAAGCGCTACGCCGTCCAGTCCGACTGGAAGGCGCATTCCAAGATCTGCGGCACTCGCGAGTACCGCTGCGACTGCGGCACCCTCTTCTCCAGGTACTGCCGCCTGCATGCACCCATCTCCCATCTCCTTCTGATGCACAACACCCATCCAATCCACCCATGATTGGGCTGTCATCACACTGCAGCCTGCTGCTTCACATTGCACTGGTATCAAACACACCCTCTTGTTGGTGGAGTTAGGGTTAGGGTTAGACATGTTTTCGGATTCAGAACTGCTCTCACGTGAATCACAGCCAAGCAACACACTCATCAAATTTCTCATTGAAACCAACGCCTCTCTCTCTCTCTCTCTCTCTCTCTCTCTCTCTCCGTCTCCATTGTGTTCACGTGGTGACTTGAAGGCAAGGCCGAGCAGGATAGTTTGTTGCCTTGCGATTTGGAGATATGTGGGCAACTGGGCATCCTCTCGGCATTGCAGGTCCACACCGATTCACAAGCATTCGATGCATAGCGATTGGAAACCGAATGCTCTCTACCTGTGTTTAAATGAGTTGGTAGAGATGGTTTACTGATGATTTGTAGCTTTCATTCTTCTGGTAACATTCTTGCCTCGGAATCCATGAGGGAGTGCATGAAGTCTGGGACTTGCATTGATGCAAGAGGAGAGCTCATTCATGCATGCTCTTGTTGGTATTCGTATTCGCTGCAAAATCTCCCTCGTTGCATTGATTGATGAGTCAGTCCTAATAATGGGTGGTCATACACTGACCTTTTCCAGCTTCAAGGAGGCTTCATTCTTCGGCCCTTATTTTAATGCCTCACAGGAATTGAACTCTCTTGCCTCTGTACCTTTTAATATCATGGATGGTTTGGTAAAAGAACTGACCGCCACCTGCATCGGACGTGGTGAAGAAGCTTGTCTGTATGCTTTATCAGAATAAACTTTAGATGAACATTCATAGAACACAAGTACTAATCTTGATTCCCTTTATTTCTTGCTGAGAAAGCTCATAATCTGCGTCGCCCTCTGTTATTCTGTCAGAACACAGTGTTCTTCCGAGTATTGTTGTCTTCTTCGATTCAATGAAACTGAAATCTTGACGGGTTAATGCTCAAAATGGATGCAGGAGAGACAGCTTCATCACCCACAGAGCCTTCTGCGATGCATTGGCGCAGGAAAGCGCGAGGCTTCCAGGCGGCATAAACACCATCGGCAGCCACTTGTATGGAGGCAGAGGCATGAACCTGGGGCTCCCGCAGCTCTCCTCCTTGCAGGACCAAGCTCAGCCTTCCGCCGACCTCCTCCAACTGAGGGGAAGCAGCGGCACCGGCCAGTTTGATCACCTCAACGCCGCCTCCTTCCGGCAGCCCCATCAGCTGGCCCACTCATCCCCTTTCTTCCTCGGTGGTGGGCCGAACCAAGGCTTCGGCGAACACCCGCAGTTGCTCAAGCCCTTCCACGGGATGATGCAGCTCCCAGATCTCCAAACAAACGCCAACGCCTCATCCTCCTCCTCTGCTGCTGCCGCCGCGAATCTTTTCAATCTTGGCTTCTTCTCTAACACCGGTAGCTCGAGTACCATGAACAATGGCAGCGACGCTGGCGGCCAAAGCGGCCATCTCCTGGGCCCCGACCAATTCAGCAACGCAGGTGGAGGTACTGAGGCCATGTCGCTGTTCGCTGGAGACCTAATGAGCAATCACACTGACACCACCATGTCTTCTCTGTATAACCCCTCTGTGCACGCTGAATCAGTAGTACCTCAGATGTCAGCCACCGCACTGCTTCAGAAGGCTGCCCAAATGGGTGCCACATCCAGTGGTGGCAGCGGAAGCTCGATGCTCAGAGGTCTCACCGCCTCCTTCTCCGGTGGTGGTGGTGGAGAGATCTCCAGAACTGGCGTAGGAAACGAGAACCACTTCCAAGACATCATGAACTCGCTTGCCAACGGGAACGGCGGGGTGTTCGGTGGCTTCAACCAAGGATTGGACGGCATGGGGGAGAACAAGCTGCACCGCAACCTGTCGATGGGCGGCTTCGGAGGATCCGACAGACTCACAAGAGACTTTCTCGGGGTTGGCGGCATGATGAGAAGCATGGTGGGAGGAATTCCGCAGAGGGAACAGCACCATCTCGGCATCGACACTACGAGCTCTATGGATCACTCGGAGATGAAATCGGGATCCTCTACTCGATCCTTTGGTGGTGGAAGACTGCAGTAAGAGCCTGCGAGAGATCGATGTAGGAGAACTCAGTAGAGGTATGTAGCCAATTGAGCTTGTTAGGTGCGATAATATAGTAGGATCTATCAAGCTTTGTCTTGTAGTCGCATGCATGTATTAGTTGAAGACGACGTCTCAGTCGAGGATATCTTCCTTCCTTTCTTTCTTTCTTTCTGCTGCTGTTGACCGCTTTACTTCTTCCGTTCTTCTAATAATAAGTCTGCTCTTTTTTCTGAACATGGTAATCAAACATATCGATATGCTGCTGCATGCACCACACGCTTGTCGACGTGGTTCTTTGTGCTCATGCATGCATGCATGCATGCATGTGTTGAGTCAATGAGAGATGAGAGAGAGAGAGAGAGAGCTGGAGTTTGACTTGATATGGCATGCAGCTGTTACGTGAAGAATGTCTCTTATGTTTCTATATTATATTTGAGTGATATCATAACGAATCCACCAACATATATGTATGTATCTATACATACATACATACATGTAGAGCTCCGCATATTGGATGCGTTTTCGTCCGATATCGTTCACGTGAGGCTGCCTGTATGATCACGTGAAGAACAGTGTACTCTCACTTCACGTACTTCATTGGCACATACATACTGCAAGCTGGCTCGGTTCACATGCTTTGTACACCTGATGATTGCATAAATCTTAGATAATAATAATAATAATGTACATAATTGAAGAGGTGACATGGTTTCTTTTTTCTTTTTTCGCCGTGAAATAATAATAATAATGATAATGATGATGATGATGATAAACATTGATGGCACATTCCTTTGGGACTCTAAATCCAATGCTTAAGAATGCCTTGTGATGTTTAAGGACCAATATACAAAGAGCAATTGAGATCCTATTTAGCTTAGACGAATTATTATATTATGTTGATCCAGCTGCAAAGTAACATGAGTTTTGTCTCATGTCTTGTCCCTGTTGTGTCGAATTACGTGGTATGAAGCATTTATTTACTGACATCTACGCATGCATCGAAGGTCACTACAGAGTTTGGCTGGCTCCCGTTTTGAGATGGGAGACTGCAGATTGAGATCCAGCCAGAAAAATCTACATACGAGCTATGTTATCTCAGAGAAATTAGACCACGTAGAGCGTCGATGTGAAGTTTTAATCTTACTTCTGTTGGCTCGATGGGAGTTTAACATAATAAGGCCATAGTGATTGATGTAAACCATAGAAATGATTCTTACAACATAGAATTTACAGTGATAGATCTTGTGATTGTAATCCAACATATGGAGAGTAATCGTCATGGATTTAAAAGATTAACATGCCTTGTGAATGTAATCCAACAGCATCGAACTACAGAGTTCTATAAAAGATTAACATGCTCGAGCATTTTGAAGGCATTAATTGTGTGAAGCTGAACTTAACTGGAAAAATGAAGATTAAGGAATAAGAACGATTCAATTTTCTCATCTTAACTCCAATCATGGCTTCTTTCATCTACGAAGAGAAAGGATTCGCTAAACAAGTTTCATGTCTGCCAAAGATATCTGCGTTATGTACATCGGTTACAGGTCATCATCATGCGGGACGATCAATGTCCCTTTGACCAAGATACTGCAAAGAACAAACATTGGCAACAGTCGAGTTCCAAGAAATGGGAGACGCCACGGTGACACAGATGGATCGGCTCAACAGTAGAACATGACTTTCTTGATGTTTTCTTTCAAGGCCGGAAGGGGTCTAACTGGTGCACCACCACCCAGGAGGCGACCGCCGCGTTGAGCACGTCCAACTGCCCCACTTGCCATCGAACCATTGTCCGACGTCTCTGGTTCCATATAAAATCGTGCTCGGAATGCAGCCAGATGCGCATAGTATGCAGGTGGCACTGTCAAAACCATGAAACAGTTTCGTTCGGGGTTTCATTTGTCCAAATGGTGTAAGTTGATGAAAATTTCTCATGTATCACTTCGTAAGATGGGAGAGAGAGAGAGACGGCATACCTATAGACACGGATCGCGTGCACCTTGCGTAGCTGCAAAAACATTAGTATGTCTTTAATAGACAGGGCGATGATAGCAGCTCGCAAGAACGAACAAAAAGAAGAGAAAATCTTACGTGTAACAAAGGTTGTTGGTCAGTGTTTGTAGTGTATCAGCTGTGAATTTGTTCTCGTCCCACAAGACATGGTAGTGAGCAGGTCGGCTTGTGCCCTTTTATGTGCACCATGACAAGATCAAATATAATTACCAAGCATATCTTTTATTTTCAAAAAATGTGTGCTTTCAACAAAGAGGAATAGGGAAAGGAAGTTTACCTGGATGCCAGCATGACTGCACAAGTAAAAGTCAAACTCAGTAGGGTGACAGATCTTAGAGTCAACCACAGTACCTACAAATTCCAACGTCGAACCAGCTCACGGTTAATTTTTGACATCCAAGAATGATGTGTTATCATGCAGGACTCTTATTATATGCATCTAATATTCGAGAAAACTAACCGGGCAGAATATTTTCGTTCTTGTCAAATGAACGCTGATCCTTGTGGTTACTTGCAAACAATCTAGTGTGATGACGTTTTTGAACCACTATGAAAGTTACAGGTGGCTGATAATTTGGTTCGAGTGAGGCGCATGCCTGAAGAATATTGAAGTAAAAGAAATATAAAATAAAAAACATTTGAATAAAGACTGAGTCAATAAACAAGCAAAGGCTGAAAATCTTAACATGGCAAAGACTGATCATTGTACCTTTCTGATTGCATCAAGTTCGTAAAGTAAAACTTGATAAAATTGCCCCTCGCTAACTCCATCCCTGCATCAAGACTCGAGAGACCATCATTAATCTTCACCAAAGGAAATTAATCAACCCAAACAACTCTCTGTGGTTATACCTATAAAATATTATTCGCTGCGGCTTTTGTCCAGTGGCTCTTTTGAAAGAAATAAGAAGTTCCCTGCAAATTTGGCGAAGTCAGATGGATTTCTTGGTACAAAGATAAAGCAAAAAAGGTTACATTCAGCTAGTTCTCAATGGTGAGAAATGACCATAAACATACTTTATCATTCCACCAGTTACTGTTCCACGCTGAGGATCTTGCCAGACTTTAAATAGATCTTGTATCAACTCCTGGCGATGGGCCTGAGCAGAAACCAAACCAGCATACTTTGTTATCTCTGGCCAGTCTTGAGAAGCAACAACCTGAAAAAAAGATAGATTAGGCATCTATCAAAGTCAAAATCACAGCCTAAAGAAGAAGAATGTCATTTATCATTCACATTAGGAATATCTTACAGCCGCAATAGAGGGGCTCGTATCTTCCCCAGGATGAGGATGTGTTACGTCAGCACCAAATATAATTGTAGGTCGGTCACTAACTAGTGGTATGCGCCCACTCAAGGCATCCACAAGAACTGTATTTCTTCCCCCAACCTGTCCGATTTAATGCTCTTATCAAGCTAAAAAAAAAAAGAGAGAAAATGAAAACGGATCAATTTTCATACAGTCTTAACCAACCTTCACATTTATCTTGAGAGCAACATTAGCGAGGTACTGCTGCTTGTTCATTCTGGAAACATGTTTAGTCAAGCAGCACTGTGAAATCAGTCCAAGCTCTGTCTCACATATCCGCTTTAGATCACCTACATAAATAAACGAAAACAGTTTCTAGGAGGGACCAAAGGAAAAGTAAAGTTAAAGAGCTCAAGCATAGTGGAGTTAAATACTGATAGTGAGCAAGCATTCAGGCATCATAGGCTGAAAAATATGAGGAATTGCATGCTTAAGAGGAATCACACCATAAAGAGAACCATTATTATCAGGCAAGATCACAATAAGCAAATCAAGTTCTTTTCCCTGGGGTTGTAGTATGCTCCTTGCATCATGACATAGTGCTTTTAAAGCTCGAACCACTTGGTCTGGCCTTGCACTTAACGGATGAAGCACTGGTTCAAGTGAAAATACCTGCAATAGTTAAAGAGTCACATTGTTATGCTCACGTAATATCAGAATCAATGGAACAAGATAAATCATGCACAAATTAAGGAAAATAAAAGATAAAACACCGTACCATTCCAGATGTCTGGCACATCAGTGCAAGCTCATGACAGAAGTCACGAGCAACACTTTCTTGGACATTCCGTGCAAAATTGATGCAAGTCCAGTTGTTTACTATCCCACCATTCACCACTTTCTATATGTTAAACAAAATGGAAGATGACACAATAATGAGAAGATATCAGGGAAGACCATAGTATGCTCAAATCGCTCGATGATAATTTTTATAACTGCAGTGACACATAACACATTGCAAAACTATAAATGCAGCATGAGATCATTCGTTGAAGTGAACAAACCATCAAAAGATGAAAAGTTTTCAGTACAGCAGTGGTAATAATGGATTATGGATGAGCAATTAGAGGCATAAAAGTGAGGATGAGCCTTATAAGAATAACTTAAATTTTAGATAAAGAAACTTTTAAGTACAACCAACTGAAACAAAATCCAAGATAGAAATTCATGGGAATGTGAGTTGTACAAAATAGTACAACTCAATATGGTTTGCAAAATTATTCAGTGCTGCATGGGCACAAATCTCACTCTGGTCTCTGATTACACTTTGATTGTTGATAAGCACAAATATAGCATGCACCCTGAGATGGTAAGATGACTTTGTATTTTATACAATGACATTAAAATAAATTGCTCTTCCAGGTGGTGGGCAACATTTCCAAGCATATTCAGCAAAATCCCTTTTGATTATGTTAGTAACTACTTCAATAGCAGATAATATTGTAAATCCAACTTTCCAAACACTCAATATGATTATTACTATGTTTCAACACAATAACATATTCTTGAAACCACTTGAAGCAGACTGCAAGAGTGCATCCTGAATTGGGTGCGGTGCTAACAACACAATTTGGAAAATTGTTTACATTTCACATTACTAACTTGAAGCTCCACTCAGCCTACAGTGTGCTTCTAATAAGAATTGACGCATGTGAGATCACTCAAGACATCACTTCCAAGCAAAAACAATTTGGAAAATTGTTTACATTTCACATTACTGACTTGAAACTCCACTCAGCCTACAGTGTGCTTCTAATAAGAATTGACGCATGTGAGATCACTCAAGACATCACTTCCAAGCAAAAACATTACATTACGGAAATCCTACAGTGTCGTAGTCAATCAAGAAGACAGTTGTTTGCACTTCATATTACACAATCACTAAAAAACTGCTGAAAACACCATCAAGAACTACTATCCTAATCAAATCTATAAGCCAGCCACTAAAAGAGCAGGACAAGACAGCAATGGGAAGAAAATGACAATAGGCCTATAGGAGTTGATGACCTCAGCAATCTTTGCCTGAGTGCCATTATCTCCATTCTCCACAATCTAATTTAATCAAGTACAATCAAATGGGGCTCTTCCACTCCTTTTCCCATGAAGGCTGTGTAGATAATTCCTACCGTCAGGTTCCATAAACCTAAGTTCCTTAAGCATAATTGATAAAATTGGATAAGCTTAAGCTTCAATATTGTACACAGACCCAAAACACATCAAGAGTTTATTGAATCCACAGCCACTTTGACACGGACACGGTGGTGATAATAGCTAAAGATAACCAAGTTTTCACTTGAGCATGGTCCCTAATTCGAGACAAAGATTACCCATCAGAGATATGCCCAGTGAGTAGCATAATTTGATCCAGATGTTTTACAATAGGTTATTTGGCAGTCCAACTCAAATTTTTGTGACACAAATAAAAATTTTGATGTGTACAAGTTTGAGAAAAATTCAACATAAAGCTCGAGCCGAAGCATAAAAAGACAACCTATTTATGATACCAAAAGTGCATTTTCACAAAGTTATCGTGATAACTAAAATAAATACTTTTACTGTCTCGGATGGTACCTTATTCATCATATTCCACTGGCCGATTCTTGGCAAGCAGTCCCTCTCTCTGCCATTGTCATGGTATTTAAGCTGCAAAAGCAAAAGTCCAGATCAATGATACTGCAGCATATCCAATGTTTTTACTTATGAAAGCAACAACAATATCAAAATAAAATTGATCTCTGCTTACGTACCCATGGTGCAGGTAAAACACGTGCCTCAACTGATGCTAGTCTATCACTGATTTTGATACCAAATTCTCTGGCATAAGGGTCTTCATGGTAAGCATTGTGATGAACCGTCTGGAGAGCAAAATAAATATATTAGGAAGATAGACCTGCATCAAAACAAACTAATGGTTGTGTTTCATTGATCCAGTCAGTAGTTCAAGTGAATCCACCTAACTGGAGATCATCAGATTGTATCTTCTTCCAATCCCACATGAGGATTACTTCTAGTCAAACAAAGGCATAACTGGACATGCAATCCATAATTTTAAACTGTCTTGATAGCATGAATTACAGCAAATTTTGTAGATTCAAAGACAACTAAAAAGTAGAGAGAGCAAACAAGAACTTGCTGCAATAGTTGACAGTCAAAACACCATATGCATTCTTTCTCCTGCGACTAGAACTGAGAACAAAAAAGACCAATTTTCTAAAAAGAGAGCAGAGATACTAGGACATGTGAAGGAAACAAAAACGTGACACATGAGGTGTCTTTGCCACATGGATTATGAAATTTTATACTTCACATGCAGGACTCTAAATTTCCCCATAACCTATTTCAAGATTCAAAAATTGGCAAGTCAAACATCTCAAAATTCTAACTTTCCATTACTTAGGCATTGTATAAAAAGTTTTTAAAAGGTTTATGAGGACCTTCGTTAACATTTTTCATACCCACCATGATCCTTTTAACACCTTATCATCTCAATTCTGACATAATCATGCATGAAGTAGAAACAAACTGGCACTAGATACTCTATTGAAAAATAGAAATAAACAAAAAAAAAGCCTGCCGATTGTTTCCATCATAAGGCTGGGATATAAAATTGACATCACAGCAATAATCCATAATTGAAATGGTTATCTCACTTGTATGGAAGAATCAACTCAATGCATGAACTAAAAAACAAGGATACAGAAGATTCAACAACTAAAACTGCCAAAAACCTTAAAAAGAGATCACTGACAGGATCAGAGACTATTAATTAATGAGGTTGAGCCAAATATACCTGCAAAATGTCAAGCACTCGATCGTGAGGACGCTGGCATGTCACCTTCAGTAGAGCAGTTATTTGTTTCTCATTCAATCTTTTGGAATATCTCTGTCCTTCCACAATCTTGCAGACCTAAGATCATATAAAAAAATCAGAACATGTATTCTTCATTATGAGGTCCTAACTGCTTTTGTAGTCATAAACCTAGAAAAGGGAACTCAAACAAGTACTTCAGGATCCATAAAACAGATAATGATATAGGTGACCTCACCTCCAAAGGCAAATAGTTTGACCTCTGCTGGCTGCCAACTTGTAGACAAGGCAAATTGGTGTGTTTGATAGTAAAACCGTATGTTTCTTGAAAATATTCCACTACAAATTTCATCGTTCCTCTTTCATCAACTGGGAAACTAATATTCCAAATTTTAATGTACAAAAATCATGTTAGCATCAAGAACCATAGTAGTAAAATAAAAAGAAAATCAATAGATTAAAAAATTAGTAGACACATACGTCAGCTCCCTAGTTGCTTGAGATGTTAAACCAGATATGCGATACTTTCTGCGCATATTCCCACGATGGGTGACCTCAACCTTTACTCCTCTAAGAGCCTTCTTGATCTAGAGTACATGTATATACACATACATATATATGAGATAGAACACCCACATAATGAAACAAAAATGCCATGCGGTTATTCACACCTATCCATGTGAATTATAACAGAAAGGTGACAGCTTTCTCTTATATTTTCTAAAGTAAAACTAACCATGTTGAAGTTTACAGAACATTGGAAAGAGCAAACTCAAATTAGATTACAAATACAAAGAAACAAACAAAAGAGATTTTCAAAATAATAGTAAGGGAAAGACATGTGATGAGAATAAACAAGATAGTAGAAATATACCTTCACTCGATCAGCATCAGAGAGCTGTCTTGCTCGAACATCCCTATTTATGAGTTGGGTGACAAAGTCAATGACAGGCAGGGGCTCAATGAAGGCGGAAGAAGACATGTCTGCACAAAGAGAGAATTTTAGCATATACACACAACATGAGTCATGTGACCCTCCCATTTGACATCAAGCTGAAATCCAAGTCTTGTTTTGAAGGTAAAAAAAATAAACACTAAAATCCAGGTTACTTCCAACGAAATAAAATTTGTTGATTTTCTCCAGTTTGTTTAGCTGCAATTCCGTTGGTTTGTCTAACGAAGGTACCACCATCTAAAAACCAAAGAGGATCTAGAGTGGCAGCCATAAAACAGAGGGAGATATAGAGGTGTCACTACCAATGTTTAGTGAGAGTCCCATTTGTGTTGGGCGAATACTCTGATAAAAGCCCCGCCAGCTTTCTAATCCATCCCCAAGTGGTTGCCTTCTCCCCAGATCAGGTGAATAGAAGGACCGACCAACAGGAAAATACCTACACAGAATCAAAGGAGATAATGCTCAGATAAAATTTGACAAAACAAATAAAAAATAGCTCAGCATACAGATATTAGCTGTTACCTTGTGGTAGGGCGTTCACGTAGCACAATGTCTAGAACTTGTAGAGCTTCCTGGGGAGCATCAGCCTGTCGCCCAGATAAAAACATTTCAAGGTGGTGGAGATCCACACGGGCAGCAAACTTTATAACAACTTTAAATGGCCTCTGCTTCCTGCGGGACAGGTATACACATCAAGAATTTCATTTGCAGAAAAATGAAATCAATATATTATTGCACCAAAAAAAGGTACAGATCTCCACCTAATGGACCTTTCTGTCCCTAACCTTTCTTTGCCTGAACCATCATCTTCATCAACTAGGATTATTTGAAACTCTCTAAAAGTGAAGGGAAGAGGCCCAGCAGTGTAGAGACTCTTCCTGCCATCATAGACTGGAAGCCGTCCTCCTAAACAAGACTTTCTATGCTGTCTGACTAGCTGTTCCATCACAGCACGATTGACACCACGTGATATAACTTCCGGAGTGATTGACACCTGTGATCAAGTATATGTAACAAATATAGTGAGATAATAAGATACATAGGAAATGCACATGAATTTGAAGCACTTCTGACAGATGAGACTAACATCATATTGATGAAGGTCTTTATCAGGTAATTCAGCAACGAAATGATTTGCCTTCACCACACATTTAACCCCACAGCTTCCTTTTCCAGGCCGTAATGGAAACCTCAAAGACTTGCTAGATGGAGCTACAGGAATCACAGTTTGTATTGCTTGAGTAGTAACTCCATCCTCAACAAAGCATTGCTGAAATTTTTCAGTGGAGGAATCCTCTGAATGCCATGATGAACTAGCTTGTGATGATGCTTGGTGCAGATCGGGAGCTGGTAGCCTCAATGGACCTGCAGCTGAGGGGTCAGCCACATGTCCACTTGACAAACTGGCACCGCCTCGGTGTCCATATTGTTGCTGAGGTGGCATTCCTCTTCTTCGTAGAGGCAAACCTAGGCCATCATATCCTGGAGATGGCCCACATGGCTGCTGCGGTACTGAAGCCCCATGGGGCTGTCCGCTTCCTCTCCGGCGATAATAACTCCCAAAACCACAGCCTTGCTGTGAATGCAGAGGGATGGCTGGACCCCAATCACGTCCTGAACCACGGACCCGTTGTTGTGAAGCAGTAGCCCTTTCAGGCAGATGCTGGCGAAAAACTCGCCCACTTCCACCACTGGTCTCATGGAAAATTGAACTATCCCCAGCATCAGGAAGTTCAATTCTGTGATTCCTTACCATGTTGCCAACTGCATAAAAATGTGAAGTACAAAACTTAATTTAAAATTCAGAGAAAGAAATAGAATAAAGAAATCTTGCAGCCAACAAATTATGAACAATCAAGGAGGAATCATCTATACTTACTCATTTATCCACCATAACTTAGAATTAATTTGCTTCTCAGAATAAGAAACATACAAAAATTTGCAGTATAAAATAGTGAATGTGAGAGCCAAACTGAAGCATATCACAGAACATACCCATAGAACAATTCCACGGTATAGAATCTGATAATGCATTGTTAAAAAATATTGAGCAACAACAAGAAACAATTATGTCGACAGGCAAACACGATATTATCAAAATCAGTGAAGGACCAACATCATCTCGACACAGTGCTTCCAAACGTCGAGATCAAATGTTTATGCTCAAATACTATGTCATAAGATTTACAAAATAAAACAGCAGATCGAACAAGAAAGAAGTCTTCTATTCAAAGAAATCTTGAGTACCCAAAAAATCATATTTCATGAACCATAGATATCTTTACGCTAGGTGAACATATTATAAGATTTGTAAAAGAATTGTGAATCAAACCACACTATGCTTGCAGCAAAATGACATAATGGCATTGCTGATAAAATAGTAGCAAAATCCATGAACAAAATGATTTTATTTCCATTGTCAATGCACCTTGATCGTATAAAGGTCAACTCAGTTAGCTTAAATACATTTATGGATTATGCAATTCACAGTTCAAAAAGGGGAAATAATAAACTACGACTTAAAGGACAATCATTAACCAGCTCTAAAATCAAGAAAGACTCCCAAGTTGAAACTATTAATCAAGCACGAACCGGCAACACTATTAGAACATATGCAAACTACTCCGTGAATGGAAAAAAGGAACGAAGAGCAACCAAAAATACATCTATTGAGCACGCTAGACAAACTTCAGAAAACGCCACGATTATATTCCAGTTATTACACTTAAAACTGAGAACGGTATCGAGAACAATCTATACTACAACTAAAACAAGCCAACGATCAACTCAAGGAACCACAAATCATGTTGAGAAGGAAGTATAAGATCGTCGATCCATGACAGGGAAACGATTAACTGCAACTATTAGGTAATAAATCCTCGAAATCATGAACAAAAACGTGGAATGGAAAGTCGGCAGCTACGAGAGAAGAACCCCACAGATCGGTTGCCTCTGAAGCCAAAACCCAGCGTCACAAGGCAAACATAGACAGAGCACAGTACACGATCGTGCTCTAAAAATCTTAGTACTAAAGCTTTAAGAACCACCATGAAGGAGTTCGATCTCACCCAGAACCAAAAGAAGACCGCAGCGATCGAACAAAATGCAAGAAAACCTCACGAATTTGGTACTACATGCAGCGACATCAAGGAAAGCAACCACGTAACAGACCGAATCATTCGGGTCTCGAGGGGAATCGACGAGGAATACGGGAGGGGGGCTGCGAAACCCGCCTTACCGTGATCGGAAAACCGGTTGATCGGTCGGGAATCCGCTTGTCGCCTCGGGAAGCCCTCCTCTCTCCCTTTGTTCTCTACTGAGAGCCGGAGGAGTGGGTAAAAGCAGAGAGGGGAGTAAAGAACAGGAGGAACTCGCACGCCTACAGACGAGACAACGCAGGCGATGAGTCGAGGAACTCGGTTGGACCCGGTATTTAAAGCCACGTCGGGGCGAGTCGGGGACCGAGTTGCACGGTGCGGTGTTGGTGACGGCGCGACGTCAGCCACGTTTCAGCTTTCAGGTGAATTTTTCTTGCGGGTCCCTCGGTGGCCCCGAAATTTCAACGAGTGTGGTTGGTCGACGCTACAGCCCGCTGGATGCGCCGCTACTTGTGATCGAAGGGTTTTCTCTTCCGTCAAAGCCATCCATTTCTTCCTACGCGTCACCCACATGGGAAACGTCAGTGGGCCACGTGGAAGCAAGAGCGAAAACGGCGGTGGCCGTTGTCAGAGACCGGGAGTCTTCCGAGACTCACCTCACGGTTCGACACGTGGTTCAAAATCTGGGGCCCAGCGCTCACTCGCAATTGCAAACGAGACGTGGCGAAGATGTATTGGTCCGTTTCGCGTAATGTTTTAGGATTAGTACGTTGTAAGGGATCCTTGCATGCGTGGAACGTGTAATTGAGACAGAGGACAAATGTGATGGCTGATTAGATCCACACTCGAGTTCATATATGATCATAGATTAATACGGAGATTAGATTGATGATTTGGCCACAGGGATTGCTAATCTACCACTGAATCTACTAATTAGAATATGGATCGGCGCACCCAATCCTGAGATCATGGCAAGAATTGTTGGGAGGATAACAATTTAGAAAGGTATTGCTAATTGTCATATTTAGGGTTCGCTAATAATCGAAAGTTTTGATTACCAGAATCAAAAGCGATGAGACTTTTCTCAATAGAAAAATCTATATATATATTAGATCGAGTGATGACACATGATACATGATAATTCTATTAGATGCAGAGTTCAATGAAAATCGATGTATAATTGTTACAAAGTCAACAGTGCAATGACATGCTCGATCGTATCTTTTTTGTGTTGCGTCTTTTAAACATAATTATATTTTTTTACTCAAATAGTATAAAATTTTTTTAAAAATTATTTATGTCCTTTGTCATTATTGAATTATCTAATAAAATTTACTTAATAAAAAGGATTTGTATTTATGAGAAATGTTTGTTTTAGTTTAGAAATTATTCATACATGTTTTTTTTTCAAATATATATAATTTTAAAAATACCCATTTAAAATATTTAAAATATATTACGAATGACATATGAAGTGAATTTCAAAGCCAAGGTCTTTATTATTTTAATATTGAAGTAAGTATTCACTCAATATCCAAGATTTATAATGCAGTATTTGAGGAGGATCAATATATGTCTGATTTTGTTTATGATTATTATAGCATTATTACACACAATCATAAAGAAACTAAATAGGTAAAAAATCAATTTTGTTGGTAGACTCTACCCATTGGCCCATTTTAGGTATGATTTAGAACAGCTAAAACAATTACATTTAGGTCACTTTTCATTATTCTCATGCGATTTAGAAGAACTTATGTTTCAATCAGAATTGTTTTCATGTGTTCTTCAAAAAGCATATGATTTTGAATTTACCCATTAAAATTCTATTTTTCATTATAAAAAAAGTTGATATCTAAATAGCATTTCAACATTTCAAGGAGTATTACGAAAAAATTGCTTGAATAAAGAATTATTTCTATTATTTAAAACTATGCTTACATAAATTATGATGAACACAAAGAGTGTGACTCAGCCAGCAGTGTGTTGATTCTGTAGTGGGTTTGCCACCCAACAAGTCCTAATATAAGATAAACACCATGGTGGATTACACATAATAGTTCATATATATATATATACATATATATACATATACATATACATATACATATACATATATACATATGTATATACATACATATATATATATACATATATATATATATACATATATATATGTATATATATATATATATACATATATATATGTATATATATATATATATATGTATGTATGTATGTATGTATGTATATGACAATGAGATTGGGTAAGATATAAACATTGAGATGGTTAGTTCCAATAATTAACTAAATATTGGAAACAAAATAATCCTATTCTTATTGTCATTACTAAATGGTATTACCTTTTGAACCAAAAAATATAATTATTTCACCTACTAAGGAATCATTTGAGATTCCCACAAAAAGATACATATTCAAATAAACATAAAAATATAACATAATGTTAAATGCTAAATAAAAATTTCAAATAGCTTGAATTTTAAAAGCAAATATAGAGTAGCAAATGTGAAAACAATACCAACTTGATACATTTTATCATGAATTTATTGTAATGTAATCACAACATAACATAAAGAATATCATATAAAATGATAAAAAAAAATTATGACATAACTATAAGATATTGTAAATACAAAAGGAATACTTTTCAAATATAAATGTAACATATAATAAGAGTATATAAAAACAAAAAACATTTCATACTTAAAACTGTAGAGTTGAACATAGCTGGCTAAGGTTCATGTTTAAATATGGTATGCTGAAAAAAATATCATTTTTTAAATCATGATCATATCATGTAGCTTTTTCATGACTAAATCCACAACACAAATTTGAAGTCACGTTAACAAAATTATTTTATTTTCTGAACTAGCAATTTAACAGATAAAAAATATATTCATAATCCCTTAAAAAATTAATAAAATATTATTTTATTATTTTATAATCGTAGTATTATCGATTTTATCAAAATTTTTTCGATAACCTTACTGATGCTGCCATTGTCGCTTGCCGTCGATGTCACTAGCGACTCTCTTGATGTGGTCTTTCGAGAAGAAAAGAAGAGGAGAAGAGAATATTTATGTCTATTTGTAAAGAGATGGTTACAAATAACAATCTAAAATTAGATTATTACAAATAATACTTTAAAATTTTTAAAATTAGATTATAAATAATAAAGAGAGGGTTACAAATAATAATATAGAAAAAAGGGTTTTAATACCTATCCTAATAATTTTCTTAAGATGAAACTGTGTTCTTATTGTTGAAATATTTTTTTATTTTCAAAGAGAACTTTTCTAAAGGTAAATTTCTAAAAAAATATTTTATTATTTTTCCCATGAAGTGTTCTTATTTTCAGAATGGAAAGTCTTATTTTTTATCTTATTTTTACTATTTATAATTTTATTTTAAATTTTTTATATTTTAAAACTAATATTCCATAAATTGACGTAAACACTATCTTTCTTCCTCGTCTTCTAAGTTTGTGCCAAGCCGCCTCCGGTCGGAGACGTCCGTAGTCCACTCTTCCCACCAACGCATTCGCCACGCACCGGCTCTGCACTATCGAGCTCGCCTGCACCGTGCTGGAGGAAGATGGCTGTGGTAGCTTGGGAGGGGAACCACTACCTTTGTTGTCGCCGTCGGACCTTCCCGTCTTCCTCCCATCGCAACCCTCGCTGCAAAAAGTGAACAGAACGCGTCCCGCTCGATGTGCACCGCGACGACCACCACCTTCTCATCCAATGGACTCTGCTTGCGCTATTCCACGAGCAGCCGCCCGCTCGGATACTTTCGTGCACGGGTTGAGGCACACCGAAGCCGACTGGGAACCGCCACCTCCTTGTCCAACAAACCTCGCTCGGGCAATCACCTCCTTACGTATTAGCAAGTGGGAACTCGATGTCATAGACCTTCCCCACGGACGCGTATAACAGCTCGTAGTTCCTCTTCGACGTCCGTGAGGGGGAGCATTGACAAAGCACGAGGCGGCAATCGTTGGTGGAGAGAGCATCAGCGAAGCACGGGGCGATAGTGAGCGCATGCTGGGGAAGCGTCGGCGGCGGCGGCAGGGTGCGCAGGACGGGCTGTGGAGGAAAAAGAAAAAGAAAAAAAAGAAAAAGAAAAGTAGTATATTATATTATATTATTACTTTTTAACGATTGTGAATAGTAATTTGGGGTTCCAAACAGTAAGCTTCTTATAGAATCTATAATATTTTTTTACCTAATATCTAAAATATATTTTTTCTTTCCTTTTTTTATGGATCGATCAATAGAGGGAAGCTATGGATTTATTAAAATAAAGATATTTAAAAATATATATTTTTATTTTTTGATGAATTTTTGAAAGAAAAAAAACTCGTAACTTTGGTTTTTTTTTCGTACAGTGCCCAAGTTTTATTTTTTTTTGAAAAATCTTTTTTAAAATGATTATTTTGCTTTTATTGATCATCGTTTCCCATCGTACCTTAGTCATATATTTGGTAGTCTTACTTGTCGTGGTCGACCGCGGCCCTCATCGACTACTCTCCTCCTCTCATTGATGTGTGCGAGTTGGTAGGCAATGTCGGTCACCGCCTTTCCTCTCTCTTGGTCGTCTATACTTCTATGCGTGGGCTAGCAAGTAATGTTGGTTGCCTCTCTGGTTGCTTGCATCTAAGCGTAGGTTGGCAACGTTAATCGTCTCCCTCTTCTCTTTTTATTGTCTATGTCGTCGTACGCAGATAGACCTCATAAATCACCCTCATATGGGTTAGTGAGTAACATTGGCCACTCCTCTCTCCCTTGGTCACTTGTATCTCCATACGTGGGTTGATAAAGTCGATCGTCCCCTCTCCTTCCCATGTTATCTATATTATAGGTAGGCTTTGCTAATCGCCCTCCTCTCTTAGCCACTTATATTTTTAAGTGAGATGTACAATCGACGACCAATGAGTCGAGCAATTAGGCGTTGATGGAGTTAATGAAAATTTTCTAAAATTACCTAAGGAAAAATAATATTTTCACACAGTCAGAAGTGATCTTTTCACTTAGTTGAAATATAAGGTTAAGGGTTTTTTTCATAAAATTTATTTTTTTATATTTTTTAAATATATAATTGTCACGTCAACTATTTAAAATTCCATGATTCCACCAATCATGCCAAGTGATGTTGTCCTCCTCTTTGTCAGCGCCACGTTGGCATCTCACTACATAACATAAAATAAAATAAAATAAAACCAAGAATCCTCCTTTGGGCCGGCCGAGTATTTGGCAATACATCGGAAAGGAAAGATTTCGATGACGATGACAGGTCACGACGATCGCCTCCTCCTTCCCTTCTAATTCCAACCTTCCGCGATCGGATTCCCCTCTTTCCCCAGCTCGATCTCGTCTCTCCCTTCCTCTCTCTCTCTCTCTCTCTCTCTCTCTCTCTCTACCGAATCCCAAACCCTAAGTCCGACCTTGCCCCTCTCCGCCCTCTTCGACGCAGGCACGCAGCGACCTTGGGTGGATTCAGGTCAGTCCTTTTCCTGATTTGGGTCCGTATCTTTCGATGTTTGCGGTTGGGAAGATGAATCGTTGGTTGGGAGAAGAGCTGAGCAAAAATCGGATTTTGATTGTACTGCGTGGAGAGGAAGCCGGCGAATTAGGCTGGCTTTGGTTTCTGCTTAATCGTGAGGTTTTCAAGCGAATTCGTGATTTTCTTTCGGTTTCTTGATAAATCTTGGATCTGCTTATCTTTTTTCTGTGATGACCTTTAGTGGTTGTACAGTCTTGCTTGGATTTACTATTTGTGTGCCCGAGATGGTAGTTCTCTTTCCGCTTTGGCGATGGGATTATGGATGAATTTAGGGATTCATTGAGTTTGTGGTTTTGATGAATTTTGGTCTGCTTTGGAATTATTGGGCTTCTAAAGAATGTTGGCAGAGTAAAGGAGCCTCATGTTTCCTGCTTGTGGTTGGTTATTTATTATACATGGTGTATGAGTGTCCAGTTATTTCAGACATTTATATTGAATTTTTTTCTTCCAAAATCGATCTTTATTCTTGGGCTTGTTTTAGATATTTTAGAAGTTCTGTTACTCAGACATGCTATATCAGTTTGATATTTTAGCCAGTGGAATATTTTTCTTCATTTTAAAAAGTTGGTGACTGTTTTGCATTATCTGCATGTCTCTTTGTGAGCTTTTACCAGCCAGATCAGCTAAATATCTGATTGTAGTTAGTGTAGCTAGATTTTCAGTTTGGGATAATATACAAGACATCTCTCTTGGTGATGGGTCTGGGAGCTTAGCATGTGTTCTCCTGAAAGTAAATTTTTTGTGACATCAAACATTTCAAAGAGGATTTTTATCAGTCTATAACAAAACAAAGCGTGTTCTAGGACTTTGTTATGTAAGATTGGTTTTCTTATGTCGAATGAATATCATGGTTTTTGACAATTTAGCAAGAGTGATTAAGTAATACATGTTTAGTTGTGTATGTTGGATAAGACTTATTGATAATTAGGTCTTAACATCTGAAATGAAACTTGATTAATGATCGAAATTTTGATCCAGTACCAATGTCACAGCAGGACTAATACGGTGAGTGATGGTTTGGGTTGGTACTAGTTGGACCTCTGCAAGCAAAGATATAGGGATGGAGATCTTTGTCCTTTGAAGGGCAGACGAGTGGAATGGTGGTATAATAGAGGGAGGAGTGGTGATGGAGGGCAGGGGATCGGAGTGGAGCAGAAGCAGTGATGGTAGCGGAGAGTCTGCGAGAGCAGGGAGCTTCAACGAATAGGGATGACAAGAGGGCAGGAAAGGTAAAGATTGAGGGTGAGAAGAGAGGACAAGAAGGGACCTAAGTCCCACTACTGGGTGGTCTAGGGCAACACTACTGCTGGATAAGTTTGACATTTTAAGCATACTTCATGTTAAGCCCATACCGGACTAAACCAGGTGAAATAGTCTTGTTATCGCACAGGTCAGCCATCGGACCTGGACAAGCAGTTATTCTTTAAGCTTTTGATAGCATATGATTTCTGTAATAATCTTTTATAGAATTAGTAGATTAACCTTCATGAAGCATTTAGGACAAAGATTTATGAATACATGAAGCATGTTATGATGCCAACATGTTCTTTTTCTAGTATGTTCATGGATTTATTATATGGTTAACAAGATCTCATAGTTTATACAATCAATCTTATTGTACGTTGTTAAATTGATTGTGACATGGAGATGAATTGAAGTCATATCTCATCATGTACAACAAGTAATTTTGTAGGAGTTCCCTATTCCTTTTTCAATATGAACTACTCTGGTCTACATGTCAATTCAGTAGTAATGCATGACGAAACATCATCTGGTTAAAAGTGTCTTCTAAACATGTTAGGATGTTATATTTTTTGTTTATTTAATTTTTTGTTATCCAATTATTGACTCTTCAAGAGCTGTAAACCGAAAAAAAAAATCATCAGGTAAAGTTTTCTAGTTTACAGCCTATGGAAATACATATTGACTGCTGTAAGTTGAGAAATAAACTGCTCAAGAAGATACATATTCTGTTACAATTTATATGGGAAGCACATCGTACTGAGTTTCCTTTTAATCATTATATCACAGTCACAATGGAAGGATCTGGCAGAGGGGGCAGTGCTGATGTCGTTCTACAAAATTATAAGCTAGGAAAAACTCTTGGCATTGGCTCGTTTGGCAAGGTTAAGATTGCAGAGCATTTACTGACAGGACACAAGGTTGCTATCAAGATCCTAAATCGTCGTAAAATAAAAAACATGGAAATGGAAGAAAAAGGTATGCCATAAGCATTATTTCGGAAAGTTAGATGGATGTTATAGTTTTTGTTATTTTCTTAGCTGAATTCTGTTATTCATGCTTGCCTTTTTTATTCTCCATTTGTAATATAGTCAAATTCTAACATCCATATAAACATGTTGATGTATCATCTGCAACCTAACTGTCTGAATTCACAAATGAGTGGTGGGCTTCACGCAAAGGATCACACTAATTGCTCTCGAATTTGGTGATGATCTTTTAGAAATTTCACTTAATTCATATCCTTATATTTTTTCTGTGAGAGAGTTGCAAATTTGCGATTTGGTCCTATTAGATGCACGAATGAGCTAATGCAATATCTTATTCTATTAAATTGCAACAAGCGATACTAATTTTTAACACATGAACTACTAATTGAATAGGATGATTTGTACATTTCATTGTCCAAATTTACTTGCAAAATTTTATGTAGCAACAAAGTATGGGTGAAGTAAAAATGAATCTTAAAAATATGAGAATCTAACTGAGCTCGTTGAGAATAATTTTTTTATGTTTAATTCTTCTTCACAGATAACATTCAAGATTTGACTTCGAAAATAATATTTCCCTTTTGATGATATTGTTCATTAACATACTTTTATTTTTCTAAAAATGAATCTACTTCGTAGAAATAAAATATTCAATCAATATTTTTAATCCTCAATCAAAATAAAATTTTAATTTATTTTTTTTTCATATTTGTTTTATTTTTCTTCTCCTTGAGTAATCTAGGAAACTAATTCAGAAATTATCAAGATGTTGGCGTGTGACAACTTATAAAATATGCTAAATACCCCCTAAACTAATCAATATTTTTAAAATAAAAAAATAAATTAGTGTTGCATCATGTTTCTATTAAATAAGAACTCATCACGAGTTATAATTATCAAAATTTGGACCAGCTTTGATTATGGAATATTTGGTTAAATCAAAGACTCTGATTCCATACCATATTTGAGGTAGGAGAACAAGCTATGATGCTAAATCTAATGTAGGACTCATATGAGTTGATGAAGTTTTTATTTAGAATAAAGGAAGATAAGAGAGGATGAAAAAATAATAAGAAAAAATTGGATCAATAAATTGAGTTTATTTTTCACATTATGTTTAGGTGGTATGAGATCAGATTTATTTATTTTTCTGATGAATTGAATTTATTATCCACGTGTGAGACATGGGAAGGTGTGGAGTCTTCATTCTGAGAGTTTTCTCCTTGAGCTATAGACTCATAGCGAGTCTGGTAGGTATTCCTTCTTTGTTTTTTATTATCTTTCAGTCCATCCCTTCTCTCTCTTTCTCGTCCTTTGATAGTCATACATCAGATGATCAAATTTGGTGTAGGATGAATTAATTATGAGAATGAGTGAAGAGAAACATTGAATGATAATAGAAAAAGAAATTTATAACTACCAAACTCGCTTTGGTTTAAGAAGAAAACTCCTAGGATGGAATCTCAAAAAATACTCTCACGATGAAATCTCACACTTCTGCATGTTTCACGCATGGATGATGAATTTCTACCATAGGAAAAACTAGCGTGGTCTTGCAAAACACACATGATATGGGAAGTAAACCCATTGATTCATTTTCTGATGTCTTATTACATTTCATTTCCCGACCCCAAATATAATTAAAAAGGAAAATAGATAAATAAGAAAAAATTATAATTACATCAAATCAAATAAATCATTTGCTCATTTCTTCTTCAATGGAAGGCAATGTTGAAGATTTGATTTGGAAATAATCACAGATAGATCTGTTGTTTGCTAAAGAAATGGAGTCCCAACTGTCCCAAAATCCAGATATTGTTTAAAAATTCTGTTAAGCAGAAGGCTAAGAAGCTAAACATATAAAAGATGTCCTGAGGCAGGAAAATGAACTAAGAAAAAGGTGCAAGCCTGGTAAAGCAGGCACATGTTTATAGGTGCCTAAACTCCTCGAATTTCTTGGTATTCCTGTCATTGAGTGGGGAGCTTCACCTCCTCAATTGCATTGGTAGAATCACGAGGGTAAATTCATGATAACCCTCGATGGATAAAAACAGTCTAAGAAACTCATGGTTATATTCTGAAAGACTGCTTTGAAGTTATCATGTCATTGTTACTTTTTCTTACTTGTTTTGGTGTACACAAGCTTTGGGTCATTAGCACTTTGGCTGATGCATATCCATGTGATAAATATATCACTTCTCCTTCACGGCCATGGCATATCCATGTCAGACAAATATGATGTGCCCAACATGGCCATGGCTTTGAAATTTGTCATGTCTAAGCTTTGGTGGAAACCAAATATTGGATTTGTAAACAGCTTCTAACATATCTCATGTTCTCTTTGATCGGTTAATGTGATGCTATATGACTATTCTCTGTACTGCAGTTAGACGAGAGATCAAAATATTGAGATTATTTATGCATCCCCATATTATACGTCTTTATGAGGTAATAGAGACTCAGTCAGATATTTATGTGGTGATGGAGTATGTTAAGTCAGGCGAGCTATTTGATTATATAGTTGAAAAGGGAAGATTGCAAGAGGATGAAGCTCGCCGTTTTTTTCAACAGGTACTTTAAATAAATTTCTTGTCTTGCATCACCTTTTCTGAGGTGCATATGAATATCATAGTTGTGGTGTTTTTCTTTGATAAATACAATTTACTAATATATACAATAATCTATTTAGTTTTCTGTGTTATACTGGTTTGATCTCTGCTTTAACAGTCTTTTTTCCTTAATAAGTTTATCAATATATTATATTACATGTCATGTAACAATCTATTCATTGAAACATTCCTAACCTTTTCTTTTCTTCATTTTTGGTAAAGATCATATCTGGTGTTGAATATTGTCATAGAAACATGGTTGTTCATCGGGATTTGAAACCAGAGAATGTGTTGCTAGATTCAAAATGGAATGTTAAAATTGCTGACTTCGGCTTGAGTAATGTTATGCGTGATGGCCATTTTCTGAAGACTAGTTGTGGGAGCCCAAATTATGCTGCTCCTGAGGTATGTAAATGTTCCATTATACTAATATATATATTTTCTGTTTCCTTTGGCTTTTTACCATGTTGTCATATCCATCCTTTGTAGGTAATTTCTGGAAAACTATATGCTGGACCTGAGGTTGATGTATGGAGTTGTGGTGTCATTCTTTATGCTCTTCTTTGTGGCACCCTTCCCTTTGATGATGAGAACATACCCAACTTATTTAAGAAAATAAAGGCAAGCAATCTTTGAACATCTTAGATTTTGTTACCCCAGCTTTCCATACAAACATAATACTCTGACATATTTTTTCTTATCAAAACCTTAGGGCGGGATATATACCCTTCCTAGCCATTTGTCTCCTCTTGCACGGGATTTGATTCCCAGAATGCTAATTGTTGATCCTATGAAGCGAATAACCATTCGCGAGATTCGTGAACATCCATGGTTCCAGACTCATCTTCCTCGCTATTTGGCTGTACCACCACCAGATACTATGCAGCAAGCTAAAAAGGTAAGTTCCATTTGGAACGGCTGAAGTCATGTTCTATTTTTAGATGCAAGTTCTAGTCTTCTGGACGACTTATGTTGGTTTAGCTAATAACAGTATGTGTATTTTTGTTTCTGTTATTGGCTAATACTAGATGTTTCAGTCCATTTGCCAATTAAATGCAAGGGATGAGAAGAAATAATAGAGTTTGTTGCTTTCAGAAAGAAAATAGATTAAATTAGCATTATTTTGCATAATATGTGATGGTGATGATTTATAGTATACCTTGTGATAAATGGTTTCAGACAGAACTTGCTTCTCTGTTAGCAAGCTTTTTTTTGGTGGTGAGAAAATGCTCGACATTCAAGATAAAGAGCATTTTATGTAATATGTGTTCATTGTTTTTTCTATTTATTTCACACTGTTGCCAGTCATCATACTGTATAAGCAGTAAATAAATGTATTTTCACTCTATTTTTTGTGCCTTTCTTTGTTGTGTACCTCATATGTTGTTCCCAAGTGCGCATGCCAGTTCTGTATCTGAAGTAGGTTAATCAATGATTCCTGTCTTTGCAATGTCACAGTTCTAGCTGTTCTTCAATAAATGCCATGGAAAATCCTACAACGTGTCTCAAAGAATTTGCATTCTTGCAGATCGACGAAGACATTCTTCAGGAGGTAATCAAAATGGGCTTTGACAAGAACCAGTTGGTTGAGTCTCTTCATAGCAGAATCCAGAATGAGGTATTTCATGTGATTTGTATCTTCTTCGAGTCATAACCATTCTTTCCTGTCACCATAACTTCTTCTGTTCTATAATCAGGCAACTGTATCATATTACCTTCTTCTGGACAATCGTTTCCGTGCTACGAGTGGCTACCTTGGGGATGATTTTCAAGAAACTATGGTACGTGATGCATTTCTCCAGGTCTAACATATAGTTCTTACTGATGGTGTTAACTGTGTTCTTGCTTGCATAACATGCAATACCAAATGTGTGTGTTGTGTAAATGCTTGTTTCTCTAGGATGGTGGTTTCTCACGTATGGGTTCAAGTGAAACTCCTGCTATTGCACATCGGTTTTCGGTATATATGGATCAACTGGGTATTGGTTTGAGGTCACATTTTCCTGTTGAAAGAAAATGGGCTCTTGGACTTCAGGTCATCACTCGGTTATCTTGTTTATCTTTGCATTACTGTCTAGTTAATCCTCCTCCTGGCTTGAATATTTAATTTTTATCGACAGTCTCGAGCTCATCCTCGTGAGATAATGACAGAGGTCCTTAAAGCTCTGCAAGAACTAAATGTTTGCTGGAAAAAGATTGGACATTATAACCTGAAATGTCGTTTTATTCCTGGCATTTCTGATCATGCTGAAAGCATGCTTGATAATTCTCTGCATGTTAACCATAGCTTTAGTGATGATTCCGCCATTGTTGAAAGCGATGATGTTGCTGGGAAAGAATCCAGCACAGTCAAGTTTGAGATTCAGGTATGACACTTCTCTCTTATTTTTCAGGTTTAATCCGAAATGTTTGTCGAAAGTGTTAAGCCATATGTTTTGTGATTAGCATGCGGAAACAACAAACAATATGGCTCTACTTGATGTTCTTCCTATTATTCAGATAACATTATTAATCGAATTTATATTTAGATCATGTGGGTGATGCTTCCTTTTTTTCCTTGACCTTTGTTGGATTGCAGCTCTACAAGACC